TAAGGATGGCAGGTGTGAGGCGCAGGGTGAGGACCAGCAGAACCAGCTGGCCTTCGCTCTTCTGCCTTCCAGGCTGTGCTCTGCTCTTGTGGGTGCTGGTGGCCACCTCTGTGGCCTGAGCCCCTGGTGGTGCATCAGCAGATGAAGGTGGAGCACAGACATGTCAGTGAATACAGTGTGACTGACTGTCCTTGACTCTTGGGACACCCAGGTTAACTGGCAGATCTCCATGGAAGCTCCCCACCCAGTGGTACCCCATGACACGTCCTGCTGAGCCTCACTGGTGGCCTGGGGAGGTGCTGGCCATGGGATGGGTGTAGTTGAGGGCCTGCATGGTGGTGGAGGTCAGCCCAAGGCTGCCTGCTGCAGATGGCAATGATGCCCTGGAAAGTTGTTGAGGCTTTTGGTGGGGAGGTGTAGCTCCTGTCCTAACTGTAGCTGGGCCAGCCCCTTGCACTTGAGGGTTGAGCTGGTTTGCAGCCAGAGCTTCATACCTTGCATCTCTTGTCAGTCATCTCCTCTGAGCCTAACTATCAGCATTAATTGTGACAGAGTTCTGCACTTTTGATCTTCTGGCCATAGGGTGAAGCTGTTTTGACAGCTCAGCCTATTCTTGTGTCTATGTGTTGGGTATCTTGCTGTGGCACTATGGTAGGAAAGTGAAAGAATCTAGTTATATGCTAAGCCTAATGATGCTTGCCATGTATCCTGGCTTATAGAGAAGTATTTGTGTCCTTCCCCTTTTTTTTGCTTTTAACTTCTACACTGTGTTCATGTTGGGGGGGGGGGGGGGAAGCAGCATTATACGATGGGGACCTTGTGCTGAACTATGTAGATAAGTCTCAAAGCAGCTGAGCAGCTTCATCTGAGCTTTGGCTGAGGTACAAAACACAGAAAAAGGAGATGAGGATGGTTGGCAAGGGCAGCAAAATAAAGGGTGTAACAGAGAAACCTGAAGCTCTGGCTTGCTGTGAGGTGATACAGGGCAGCGGTGACGTAGCTTTTGTTTGGCTGCATTGGCCACAGCCTCTGAGCCTCACAGCTCCTGCCAAGAATGCATTGAGGAGACCAGCAAGGTTTGGAGCTACAGGAGGGGATGTGATGGGGAGGGGGTGCTCTGTGGGGCATCGTGAACCACAGGCAGTGCAGCTGGGATGGGGACATGGGTGCAAGTGCTGAGATCAGAACAGGCCCTGGAGGGATCACTTTCAGGTAAGTTGGAGGGGCATTCTCTTGCTGCCATTGTGTCTCCTTGGTGTAACCGAGAGCACCACTCTGAAAGAGCACGTTGTTGAGCTCGCTGACCTACTTACTGCAGAGCTGCTGATGGCGTGGTGCAACAGGTTGTGGGCGATGGCCCCATCCTGGCAGTGCAGGCATCTTTGCTGCTGCCTGTGCTCCTAAATAAGCCATAAGTGCTGGAAAGCCTTGAATTTTTATCCTCTGCAGGGACCTGGCCTTGCACCATAGGACTCTGGGGATGTGTCTGGGAGTGCTGGGGGCTGGGGGAATTTGTGGTGGTGCTGGGTGAGAGCACAGAGTTGGTGCGGCTTTGTTCACCTGTGCTGAGCCCACACCCAGCTAATTGCTGTCCTCAATCTCAACACGCTCCTGCAGATGTTTGGTTCCCTCATTTCCCTTTAATTGCCCCCTTCTTTCTCTCCTTTTTTAATCACCTGTCAGAAATCACAGGTAATTACCTTCAATACTGTAAGTGTCTTGAGGCTATTTGATCCTAATGTGGATTTTTTGGGGGCCATATTTTGTTGATACGAATTTTTAAAGAGGTTGGTTTGAGGGAAGGAGTTCTTCAATGTTTTAATCTTCACATTTCCATGTGAAATGTTTCTGCTGTCAGTCTTTAAACTCTGGAGGTTACGTGTGCTCAGAAGAAACTTTTCATTGCTCTGGTTCTGAAGAGTTAGAGATGGCAGTTCCTGTGTTGCTTATTTTATTTTATTTGAAAACTGCTTTACGGAATCAAAAGACTTGCTTAGCACAGTGAATGCTCATCTGGCTGTTGCCATTCTTATTCTGTATTTTCTTCAGGGTTTCAGGCTTGCATCTCTGACAGTCAACTCTTGTTGATGCTGTGTTTAATGATGGTGCGCTGCTCTATTCACAGCTAAGCCTTGTGATTTTTATCACATTTATAGGTTTGTTTCTGTGCAGGAAAGGGCTTGAGCTCCTGCATGAAACAGGGGCTCAGTTCTGCACCTGGACACTGAAGGCAGGGGCAGATCTTTGCTAGTTGCTGCAGTGCTTCTCTGTTCCTGCAGTATTGTCACTGTCACTCCTTCTGGACATCTGCTGCAGCATTTTATTCTGATATTTGTCAGAATGACAAAAGCTACCTGAATCCTCTGGACTAAATGCAGTTTTTAGATAAGCCAGTGGGTTTCAGTGAGACACATAGGGGGATGAAATTGTCTCCTTAGTTAAAATGATTGCTCCCTATGCAAACTCTAATGGAAAAATATCAGTTTCATCCCTCCCCTGGAGCTGCACCCTCTATTCTGTTTAGACTTATTTACATCTAAAAGGTATAAGACTCAGATTCCATTATCTGAATTACATGCATCTGCTTAACCTCGTTCTAGTGACCTTGTTCCCACTTGGGATACATCTAGGAAAGCCTTCCATCTTCATCTAAAACACATGGCCATGAGAGTCTTTGCTGACCTGGCTCCCAGGGCCCCCACCTACTCACAGAAACCTGTGCTGGAATTACCCTGCCAATTGCAGGTTTTGCAAATGAAGCTTTCTTACAGCCATTCTTCCCCTTCCATTTTTGAAATTTGACCTTGCTGTTAAAGCAATGCTAAAACAGAGACCCCTGCTCGCCAGCCTTAGGGCAGAAGGATTGTTACTAAATTGAAGTGTTGTCTGAGAGTGGAGAGAGCCCTGGTCCTACGCTCCTGTTTGAGTGATATGTACTGCTATATGGATTTGCATCCAGTCAAAGGCTGTCCCAACACCTTGACAGCCCAGGGCTGGATAATATTACAGCAATGGTCAATTGTTGAACCAGATGGCAAATAATGTTATATTATGATGGAAAATAATTTCAGACTTAAAGAGAATCAATTATAAAAAGAGAATCCAAGAGACTGACATTTATGCAGCATTACTCTGTTAGATAAAGACTGTGCTGGGCTTTGGAATCCTTTGCTTAAAATTCCCTCCCTGTTGCTTAACTACAGCCTGACCTCAGGCGGTACCTTCACCTCTGTGTCCATCTTTTGTTTGACTTTAGTCCCTGTGAAAATCAGGCCAGGGAGCATCTTCTTACCTGCTCGTACCTGAACACAGCTGCCAATGCACCTGTAAGCAAGGGCATCATCACTGCAAAAGCCTCACCAGGAAAGCAAAGACTGAAACTCCTGAAGAAGGCAGTCCCATTCAGCCCATTAAATCCCTAAATGAGGTGGTTTATGAGTTCACTTTCAGCGTTCATCAAAATGCCATAGCAGCCTGCTGAAGTGACCAGAGCTTCCTAAAGCTTGTATTTAGGACTGAGTAAATCAACACGTAAGAGCAGTCCCATAATTACTATTGCTAATTAGTTGATGTTCAGGATGTGCTTTGAAGATAAAAAGTGAAGGGGTGTTGGGTTATTAAGTCCCAAACAGTGTTGTGATGCCAGCAGCACCTATTGCTGTGGGTCAGCAGGGACTTAATGCTGAAGTGACTCACCCAAATGCTGCAGAGTTTTCCTTGGAGCCTGCAACAAAGAGAGAGAACCTTTGATGTGAGAATTGCGTTTGGATAGTTAAGTCTCTCCATGAATTTGTAGCATGAAGGCGATGAGCCCCATGTAGCTGATTCTGCCCCAGGGTAGGGAGGTGACCTTGCTGAGCTTTTAAGGACCCTTCTGGCCCTGTTTTCCCTGATTTTGTGGTCCAGAAACAGCTTTGCTGAAATAGAGCTTGTCTTTCCTGCTCAGCAGAGCTTTCTGGGTGATGACTTTCCTCATGTCTGAGTTCCCCATGTGCTGGTGCTGGGATGACCTGATGTCCCCTCCTCCTGCCATGGAGATATTTAGAGGCTGTTGGAGCAGATGTAATTTAAGCTAGAGAAGGCAGCACAGATGTGCATGACAAAGACTAACCTGATGCAGACCTGGAAGTAACAAAGTGCCTTAAAATTGCACCTACATGAAGATGGGGCTTCAAACCTTGCCTTTTCTCTCAAGCATCAACATTAAAGAGATCTGAGGGAAGGAGGGAAGAATCTGAAGCTTTTTTTCCCTTCTACTTTGTGATGTGCCCCTCCTCTTCTAATGAAATGTCTGGGAATGCTTTGGAGGCCACTTCTGCATAGCTGTTGCCACACCTGTTGGGAAGGGGAAATTCCTCCCAGTCTGCCCTGGTGGAGCCGCCCGGGGGAGCGCTGCTGCTGGAATGTTTTATTGACAAAGCTGGCAAAAAGCTTCCTTTCCATGAAAATTGAATTATTTGTTTGTTCACTTCTGAATTCAGTCTCTGTGGGCCAGACCTGCAGCTGTGATAAATTAGCCCAAGTTCCAGATGTGCCCCGTATGTTTAGAGATGTCATTTCTCTGTATCTGGGTAAGTCTGTAGATCTTCCTGCTGCAATGGTTTGGGCACTATTTCAGCTTTGTCCCTCATTCAGCCTTTGAGTTCTGGGGACAGGAGAATGTGCTGAGGTCTCGGTGGAACAGGACACTGTGTCCACTGTCTTCTCTTGCAGATGATTAACAAGAACAAATCTTTGCACAAAAATTCAAGGGATGGCTCCTGGGGGAAGTTTTGTCCTTTACATATAGTTTGCAGTAGGTATCAAGAGTGGCTTTGACCACCTGAGAGTTGACACGCAGGTTCATGACTCTTCCAGTCTTACTGCTGGTCCCGCTATGGAACCAAAATGATTTCTCCTTGTAAAACACTGTCTTGGGAAGACTGTACTGAAGGTTGCAAGCAAAAGGAAAAAAAAAAAAAAAAAAAAAGAAAGAAAGAAAAAAAGATCTTGGTGTGGTTTTGATTTTTAGCATTTATTGTCAACTGCAGCTTTGAAGTCACTGACTTTCAGGACAGGACTCAGCCTGATATTGGAGGGGGGTCAAGAATGGAGATTTGGAGGGTAGAAGTCCATGGAGTCTCTTTGAGCATTGCATGTGTACTTGCAGGAACTGTCAGATCTCCAGGCTGTGTGTGGTAAAAGAAAATTAGTTATACTCACCTCGCGATTAATAACTATCATTTATCTAGCATCATGGGTGTGCGTACCACCATCAAAGCGAAGAGCTGAGGTCTCTGCCCCAGGGAAATGGCATGCTTAAAGCCATAAATTCCTCTGGTTCACCCTCCTTTCCCTGGTTCATGGCAAGTTTGTAGTTGTGTTTCGAAGCGCGCGGGATCAGGTACCTGCCTGGGTGTGTGCAATGTGACAAAGCTTCAGAAAGACAACGTGCGATGTTAAGAAAAAAGGGGGTGGGAGAGGAGCCGGGGGGAGGTGGAAACGGGCTGCGTGTGTCTGTGTACACACAGAGTGCTCACGAAAGGAGGAGAAACGCTTCCCAGGCGGGAGTGGCGGGTGGAGGGCTGGGACAGAGTCGGGCTCCCACCCAGCTGTGCTGGCAGCCAGGCAGGACCGGCACTCCGCTGTGCTCTGTGGGGACAGGACGGCTCCCAGCGCTCACCTTCTGCTCTTTCCCTGCACAGGGGCAGATCGAAGTCGAAAGCGAGACGGTCTTCAAGTTGGCAGCCCTGGTCCTGCAGGTAAGCTGCTCTTTGCATGTTGGTGCGCGGTGACTTTCTTGTATCGGGGCTGCTTTGGCACGGGGCAGCCCCCTGACTTGTTAGTTCTGCCTTGCTGGGTTTATTTTCCTGCATTTTCCTCCACACCACGAGGACAAAATCATGTAGCGTTTGTTGTTTGTAGTCTCTGGAGTTGTTATTTCTTCGTAGGCTAGTGAAAGAAATAGGCATCTGAGCAGTTTTAACTTGGTGGAGAGAATGGAAAAGGAAAAATTCATCAAGGGAAGTAATTTATTTTGGCAGATTTACATCCAATTTATCACTTAATCTTCTAATTTAAATATATGCTGGATATCTGAGAAGAGCATAGTACTGCAGCTGAAGTTTGCTGTGCTGTGTTTGAAGTTTTCAGAGCATATGTTTTATACCTTTGTTACTTCATGTTATTTTTTTCCTCTTCACTGTGCTGTCCTCAGACTTCAAGTTTGGTTATTTACCACTTCCTGTGAAATAAATATCTACCTTTTAAATGTTCGTCCTCCCTGCTCAACTCCTACCCCCATTATGAAATGCTCAGCAAAGATGATCTGCTTGAGCTGCTTCCAAGAGCACAATTCCTCCCAGAAGTCTGACCTGCTCTTAGAGCTGACCTTCAGCTTGGACAATCAGAGAGAGAACAGTATTTCACTTATTGGGCAGCAAAATTGACATTGGATGTGGATCTTGAAATTCATCCCGCTTGTAGAAGCACATTTATTTACGGTGTAGGTGGATAATCTACAGCTGGAAGCATGAAGGGCCAAGCTCTGTTCCTGAGTGCTGCATGCAGGCAGCCTCTGGGCTCTGTGTGAATGTGGCTGAGGTCAGGATCCAGCCAAAAAGCTGTGGGAGTGGGGAAGCAAACAATACTGGGAAAATCGAGGACTTTTGAAGAGATCATGTTTTAATTCTGTCACTGTTTTTCAATTGTAGGAAGCTAAAGGGGACTATTCCAGGTAATAACATTTTTCCTTTCTAATACTAATGGGCTTGATGGATGTGTTTTGGTTGGTTTGCATTGTATTTCAAACAATCAGAAATGAGGAGTAAAGTCCAACTGAGAGCAGCGGCTGAAGAAAGCAAAATGCACCACTAGACTGGATAAAATCTAACTGCAGAGTGAGTCCTATGGTGAACAGGCTCAGAATCAAAACAATTTTGCAGGCCATCCTTCTTTGCTCCCCTCCCATCAAGTGCATGCCTGAGTGGGACGGGGAGCTGCTGCCCTTTGCTCCCAGCCAGCCCATGCTTGGTGCTGCAGACCGTGCCCACCCACAGCACGTGTGGGGGACATGGAGCTGCCAGCTGCCTGCCTGAGGTCAATAAGCCTCTTTCTTCTGCAGCTGCCCCCAGGCCTCCCTCAGCCCACACCTGACCCAGCACTTGTGCTGAGCTGTGTGCTGCACTGAGGCTGCACACGAAGAGAGTGTTTGCCCTTGGAAATTTCTTTCTGCCTGGTCACCTCCGTGCACTGGTTTGGATAGCAGCACTGGGAGTTGTGGGGGGAGCTGAGGTTGCACTCAGAGCTCTTGGAGCCCAGGGAAAGGACCTTCAATTAGGAACGGCCTGCTGAGCAAACAAATTCAAAAGGTTGGCATTGGTCACGTTAATGTTTTACCATTTGCTGAGTTTCCATGCAGTAGGATGTTATGCTCTTGCTGCAGCAGCTTTCCTGCTGCAACAGACACATTTGGAAAATGTCCAGTGAGGGGCTACCTCCTAAATGCAGGATATGAGTTGTGCCTGATGCCAAAACCCCCAGCAGAGGTATTCCCTCCTGCTCTTCCAGTGCACAGTGTCAGTGCCAGCTCTGTTCTGGCCCTGGTGCCAGTCCCCCTTCTGTGGAAGGGCACCTCTTTGCTTTTTGTTGGTGTGCTGTCATGCCTGCAAAGAGGAAGAGATGCCCTTGTGACTAAGATCAGCTGGATGGGCTGCTTGTACAGATACTTCTGTTCCTATTCACACTGCAGACCTGCTTTGTGACCCACAGGATATTGCTTATAGCCACAATGTGCTGCCCTTCACCCCAGTAAGACTGCTCATCTCGCCTGATTTCCTGCAGCATCCCTCAATGTAAGGACAGATAACCAGGGAATTCACGTCACCACGGCTCACTTGACTAGAAGCAACTTGCTAAGTTGCAGCCCTGGTGGCATAGGCTCTCTTAGCCTGGTACAAGCTCTCAGGAAAAGAGGTTTAAGGTTTAAAACTGCCTTTGTAGTTAAAACCTCCCTTGTGCAGTTTGAACTTAGTTCTGACTCCTTATCGTTTGCAATAAATAGGTTGGTAAGTATTGCTTCACAAGCGCAAGAACTGTGTACGTGGTTATTTTGCATGCCTCATCAGACAGGTTGGAAGGCGTGGACCGCCTGTTGTTACCTTCCAAAGTATTTAAAGAACATGGGAGGCAAAAGGTGTGCTACAAGATTGATTTCCTTCTCCAAACAGTTGCCTTTTGCAAAAGATCCTAAGCTGCAGCAATTGCTTTCGCTGTATTAAAAAAAAAAAGTTACGCCTCCATATCAAATGAGCATGGCCAGCTGTCCCACACATCAGAGTGAAGGAATTTGATTTTACATAGCACAAGTGTCATTTGGACCACCGATGTTAAAGTGCTGGCTTCATTACCAGTGTGTTGTGAAGATGCTGAGTGGCTGATGGCCCAGCAAACCCACCAGCGCCATCCTGCAGCCTTTCTGCTCTCTGCGCAGAGGCGGCCTCTCATTATGGTGCCTGGGGTTGAAGTGCTCAGTGTTGCCTATCGTTTGGCAATTCCATTTTGAATCACTTTCTGGAATGTGGATCTTGCACCATTTCTGCTTACGTGAGAATGCCGTGATTAATTTTTTTAATGTAGGATTAGTGCAGAATTGCCTCAAGTCCTGGAGATTACCTCTCTGTCAGTTAAAAATGGGCCAGTCTGGACAGCGCTGGTGATCTCTGCCTGCCTCATGAGGAGCTGTTGTTGGGGGCACATCTCTCTCGCTGGCTCCAGGTGGGAATATGCAGGCCAGTACCAGGGCACCATAAACTCCCACAGCTCTGCAGTAACCCCTTCCTCAGATAAGGCTTTGCAGGAAGAGCACAGTAATCTCCCACAGGCTGCCCGCCCTCTTCTCGTGCTCAGTGAGTGAGCGCATTCCTTGGAAATCTGTTCATTTTCAGCTTGCAAACCTGACATGTGGGCACTTGGAGACAGTAACAGCCGCTGGATTCTATGGATGTCACCCCACAGCCAAGTGGCACTGACAGTGTGAGCATCCCAGGGCTCAGCCCTTGCAGGTGACATGCAGTGGGTCTTCTTGGGACAGGGACGTGTGCTTTGGCATTGAATGACACAAGACGCACCAGTCCCACTTGGAAAAGATGTTAGCTTTGAAGACATTGATTAAAAAAAAAAAAAAAAAAAGCTTTATGTCCTGTTCAGTACAGACTTCAGAATGCCACCTGTGGCATGCCCAGTGCACATCTTCTGGGATCGCTCTGGTTTCTCCAAGGTGGCCAGATCAAGCTTCAGAGTACCTGTTCCTTGTTGGGGAGTTGGACCAGATGGCCTTTAACAATCCCTTCCAATTCAAATGATTCTCTGATTTTTAAAAGTATCTTGGAATTTTAAACTTTGAGGATTTTTAAGAGAATGAAATTCAAGTTGCAGCTTCTGACATGTTTGAATTTTGGAGAGGGAAAATAAAAAGCTGCTTGTTATTTATTTTAGGAATTTTAGATTGCAAGAGACCTAACCAGCACAGTTACCAGATCAGGCTGGTGATTATTTGCCATGTTAACACTCTGTAATATAAAGTCTTGTCTCTTTGAGAAATAAATGATTCACTTATGCTTAGTTTACGGACTGTTTGCCCTCAGAAATACTAATAGAATACAGTATTCCTTTGTAGCTTGATAATAGAGTTTATGACCAGTGTTATTGACAATCCTAAAAATGCTGCACTGCTATTCCAGTGTTAGAGGGGGGAGGAAAAAAAAGTCTATTAACATCAAATGAAAATGAATTGAGCAAGTAGCTTTTAAACAATGTTTTTCTGATAATTTTGAACCGTGTTTTCCACAGTAACACTTCCAGGCCTGAAACCCAGCCCAGCTCCCTGGAGGTTAATGAAGTTGCTGGAGGAGGGCTTCCATTTTCTTTAAATAGCTGACACATTCGGTTTTGATTCTGGCCTGTGGGCTGCAAAGATAACTCCTGCCTGGTGTAACATAACACAGACTAAATAATGAATTCCTGATAGCTGACATGTGTGAGACACTGGGATTTATCGGTACGTGAGTGATAAATGCAGCCTGCAACAGGAAGAGGTTTGTGTGCAAGATAGGCTCCCACGCTGCAGCCACAGGGGAACTGGCTCAGGAGCTCCCACAGTGACAAACTTCATTAAAGAACAGAATAAGTGCTTAGTCTAGGGGCAGAAAACTGGTATCAACAATCCTAATTAAGAGTCAGCGCTCCCTCTTAAATTTTGGGTAGTGTTTGCTTGGGAGGATAGTTATTCTGCCAAATAAACAGGGGAATGTTGGTGCACAAGAGCATGGAAATAATGGTGTGGACAGTGCTAGGAAGGAGCTGCCTGGATAAAGCTACCAGCTCTGTGACTGTGTAGCACCTGCTAGCTGCAATGCTGGCCTGCAAAGCAGCCCAGCTCTAGGAGAGGACACACTGAGGGCTGCTGGTTCCAGCTTGCCCAGCCTATTTTCAGAAACCTCACCATGTTCAAATGGTCAGAGCTCCATGTGGTCTGAGCTTGGGTCAAAGCAAAGCGCAGATGTGCAGCACATCCCCTACTTGCCTGTTTGCATCCTGGAGAGGCCTGAGAGGTCTCATAGTGAATCCAAATGGTGCTTAGCCCAGGGAGGAGCCCAGGTGTTGGTGTCAGCACAGTGACAGAGAGCTGAGCACAGTCCTTATGCCTCTGTCAGCCCCAGTGTGTCCTTCCCAGCAGGGTATGGGCTGTACTGGTGGGTGAATAGGTGAATACACAACCAGCAGGATTCACTCTCAAGGTGATCTGGTGCCTGTCATAGACACCCATTCAATTTAGTTGGGATTTTCTTAATTGCATATTTTAAATGCCTCTGCAATGGTATTTACAGAGGCTTTCTCCAGCACAGCCCACTGTTCCCAGTTGAT